AATAGTATCAGCGCTAGTTAAAGAATTAGAAACATCAGCATAGCTACAAGTATAAGAATCCATTGCTCCTAGTTCTTGGATAGTATCAGCGCTAGTTAAAGCATTAGAAACATCAGCATAGCTACAAGTATAAGAATCCATTGCTCCTAGTTCTTGGATAGTATCAGCGCTAGTTAAAGAATTAGAAACATCAGCATAGCTGCAAGTATAAGAATCTACTGCTCCTGGAAAATTATTTATATAAATAAAGAAAACTTTGTAAGATATAATTATAAGCTTCCTTTCCTGTTTTGGTATGTGCCCAATTGTAAAAACTTTTTTGAATGTTTTCACCTGTTTAACATTATTTTGGTCTAAACCTAGTATCCCTTCCAGGGGGGTCAATTACCCCCAAGATTCTATGGGTGGATAAATTTCTCCAAATAAGCCCCTTATTTAGGCCCCTGGAGCTGAATTTCTCCAAGAACATTTCAGCACCAAAAAAGGCTTTCTCTAAATCCTCTTAATCAAAAAAAGGTTATGGAAGTAGTTTTCTTTCTATTTGCTTGGCTTTTTCTATCACATTGTGATGATTGTTTGCTATTTTCAACATTCTTCCTATAATTATTATTATTATTATTATAATTATTATTATTATTATTATTATTATTATTAATATTATTATTATTATTATTATTATTATTATTATTATTATTATTATTATTATTATTATTATTATTATTATTATTATTATTATTATTATTATTATTATTATTATTATTATTATTATTATTATTATTATTATTATTATTATTATTATTATTATTATTATTATTATTATTATTATTATTATTATTATTATTATTATTATTATTATTATTATTATTATTATTATTATTATTATTATTATTATTATTATTATTATTATTATTATTATTATTATTATTATTATTATTATTATTATTATTATTATTATTATTATTNATGTTATTCGGTATGAGACGTCTTTAACAATTTTCTCCTTATAGACGCAACAGATAGAAGTAAGATTAGTAGCGATCAAAAGCGCTTTTTTATCGCATTAAGCCTATACCCCCTTTCATTTTTCGCGAACACTCCCTTTAAGTATTTATAAACTTTCTAAAGTTTTCAAAAATTCCTTTAATTCCTTACTATACATTGATTTATATACTAACTTTGTATAATTCATAATTAGCATAGACAGCAAAAAAAATGTTATACAGAAAGTTGTAATCTCTGTTTTTCTGTCTGATTTTATTTGCATGTCAGATCATAACACTTGAGAACCCCTTTACCGATTTGCCTCAAATTTTGATTGAGGAATCAGGAACTCTGTTGAATCATGGGAATGTTCTTTGCTTGATTTAACCTTATCCTGATTGGGCTATCTCTGTCTAATATAGATTCTGTTTAACATAGTCTATAGTTTTGTCCTTAGAGTTGAGATAGGGGAGTGTGTCCCCAGCCCAAATTTTCAAGGCCTGCTCATTAAAAAAAATTTAAACCTCTAACTTTAATGGTTAGGGAGTTCAAAAAGTTCAAAAAGTACGTCGGAAAATTGTTCAAAAATGAATATTTTTACTTTTGACAAATATTAACAAGTGACCAATGTTTTTTCAAGGGCTTGTCAAATAAATAAATGTTAGCCCTCCGCCGCGCTGTGGCTCAAAGTGATAAAAACCGAAATAAACTTGAACGGTATGTCTGGGGAAAAAATAAATTGATTTCAAAAGTCAAAAAAGATAATGTTTTCATCCTTTATTTTGCATGTAGAGGGGAACTATAGTTAATGATCTTTAAAAGTTCAAAACTAACTTCTTCTAGGGGCTGACAAAATGAGAAAAAAGTTTGCAAGATTCTTCTTGCTTGTTTTCATTAGACATAAGATAAAAAATAATTTAGAAAAAATATTTATTTCAACTTTCTGGGGACATATTTTTAAACTTTTTAAAATTTTGTTCAAATTTTTACTAACTTTGAAATTTAATAAGTAATGACTGTGGCGAACTAAGGGGCAAATTTCATCTCTAGGAAATAGTTATTAGTGTGTAGAAACTTTATGAAAAATTCCAGATGCCCAAAATAAATAATTTATAAATAATTTATTGCAAAAAAATAAACATTTTAAACACATTTCTTAAACCATGAGAGAGCTGACTAGATGTAGATAAGTGTTTTTCACTTTAAATATCGCTTCACTGTACTTAACTAATATTTCGGTACATAAAATATAACTTGCTATTATTATTGGTCAGCATGCATTCTGGTGAATTTTATGTTCTGTCAGCATGCATCTAGTATGCCAGCCAGAATTATAGAAGCTAAATTTAATTATTTTATTGATCCAAATTTGCATCTATCAGAATATCTTTAAACAATTTAACTGGCCAGTATGCATCAAGCATCCCCATAAACTTCAACTTTGGCCTTAAAATTATTTAATTTTATTGGCATAAAATTATTTAATTAAATTAAATTTAAATCGGGGTTAAAGGAAGAATTAAAAAGATAGTTGTCTGCACCGCTTCTTTATCAACAGTACAGTACAGCACGGTAGAGACAGACAGACAGCTATAAATGACAGATAGATAGATAATGGATAGATAAATAAATTCAATTTAAACAAAAATTCAAAACGAATGTCTTTCAATTTCAACACTTTGGATGCTTTGGCCTTGTAGTAAAGCATCAAAAGTGTAATTTGAAAGCATCAAAATCAACACTTGAAAGCATCAAAAGCAACAAGCAATCAAATTTGATGCCTTACTCACTCTTTTTTTGAGAAAATATTAACTCTCCAGTCAAATTATGACTTAATAAACTAAGAATTAGGAAGCATTGCTTTTTCCTGTCCTTTTCCTCATTTGGTTGTAAAACAAGATGAAAGAAAACCTATATATTCATTTTGATTCTTTCAAGATGAACCCCTAGAAAGGACAAGTTTTAGCAAGAGAGAAAGAAGATGCATTACCCCCCCTCCTCCTCCATCCTTTTTGGGACAAAAATTGTGACTTCTAATTTGAGACTGAGAAAGTGTCTTAGTCATAATTTTGTCTCCAAAAACAGGCTGAGACATATTTGTGACTTTTGTGACTGAAAATGTGTGTTAGAAATAAATTTAAGGTTGTAAATCGTTTTTGAAAACGATTGTTTACCGATTTTTTTTTGTTTCGTTTTTCGATCGTTTTCAAAACTGATCGTTTCTTTTTCGGAAAAAACAATCGTTTTTGAAAACGACCCACTCATTTTAAACTTTTAGAAAACAAATGACGAGCGTTTTGAAAACGATTGTTTTTATAGAAAAATAAGCGATCGTTTTTTATACAATTGTTTTTTCAAATAGGATCTTTGACAATCGTTTTAGAAAAAAATCATAAAAAATAAATATGATTTTTGGACTTTTGTTTCTTTTTATGTTTTAAATCGAAAAATAAAATTTACTATGAATATTGGTTTGATTTAGCTTGAACATGAAAATATGTCTACAACTATGAATATTGGTTTGATTTAGCTTGAACATGAAAATATGTCTGCACTATGAATATTGGTTTGATTTAGTTTGAACATGAAAATATGTTTACAACTATGAATACTGGTTTGATTTAGCATGAACATGAAAATATGTCTACAATTATGAATATTGGTTTGATTTAGCTTGAATATGAAAATATGTCTACAACTATGAATATTGGTTTGATTTAGTTTGAACATGAAAATATGTCTACACTATGAATATTGGTTTGATTTAGCTTGAATATGAAAATATGTCTACACTATGAATATTGGTTTGATTTAGCTTGAACATGAAAATATGTCTACACTATGAATATTGGTTTGATTCCGCTTGAACATGAAAATATGTCTATATCTATGAATATTGGTTTGATTTAGATTGAACATAAAAAATGCAACAAAATTAATGCGAACCTCCAAAAAATTTTAAGATTTAATCTTCTATTTAAAGGGAGTGACCGGCAATGTATAGTAGTTAAACTGAGAATGTAATATCGTGGAGGAATTTTTTAGGAATCTTGAGACCTATATGAGACGTGTTTACAGTGCATATTTGTTCAGCAAGAGCACAAATTCAATCATTAAAATCCTCATAGATTGTTCATTTTTAAGGGGTGATTTTGAGAATAAGTTTTTAAAAAATATTCAATAACGACGACGAAGAATGTACTAAAAATTCTACAGTAAACATATTAGTTGTTTAGAAACGGGTTGAGAAAATAAAAATGAACTATTAAAATCGAAAATAGGCAATCTTTTCCAGTTATTGGTTTCTCTAATGTCTCATTGTTCACAAACATTTTCTGTAGATTTCCTGGAATTTTTATTGAAAAGACGACATTGGAAGAATTTTAAGAAATCTTTAAACAAATTCATAAAGACTAAGAAATTTAATATAATGAGGAAAAAGAAATAATTGATTCTAACATTGATTTATTGAGAAAATTTTGATTAAGAAATACATTCCTAAACAACGGATTAGTTTACTGTAGAATTTTTTTTACTTTTTTTGTCTTCGTTATTTAATTATTTTAAAAACATCGATTGAATCGAATGAATGAATTTAAACGTCGACTTTTTGAAACATGTCTTAAATGAATCCTAAAATATTTCTCCACAATACTACATTCTCAGTACAACTACCATACATTGCCAGTAGGCGGTAACTCCCTTTAATATTTAATATAAATGATTATGCACATGGAATCAAGTTTCTAGAAGGATAGGGGGGGGGGTTCAATTACCCCCAAGATTCTAGGTGTGGATTAATTACCACAAATAACCTCCTTATTTAGGCCCCTGGAGCTGAATTTCTCCAAGAACATTTCAGCACCAAAAAGGCTTTCATTTATTTATGATTTATTTGTCGAACACAAAAAATTGGTTCAGATATTAGATTATAACTATAATTCAATGTATACATAGGTTTTCAACTAACGACTTTAATTCTTCTCTAATGTCGTCTTCTTCACAGTCCTAAGCGNTGCTGAAGAGCCTAAGTTTGATGATACAAAAAAGAAAGCTGCTGGATCACTTACCAGTATGCTGTTCTGGAGCCAAGACCAAGTAACATTCCTATCTGATGATCACCCTAGAACTGTAGTGTGTGGTCAGTTCGGCTGTGGGAAAACGCTAATGGTGCTCGAGAAATTGAGAAGATGCTTAAGAAGAGTTGAGAAGAAGAATGAGGAAATGTGCGAGGATAATGAGGAGGTCTCTGTTGAGAATTCAAGGGCACTTTTCATATCATGCCTGAGCCCAAGCCTTAAGTACAGTCGCGATGAATCGGGCAAATACATTGAACCGATTTTTGATACATCAATTAGAGTTGCCCTTGATGAGATGGCCCAGACGGAGGGTTGTGAGATTCATTTCGAGAACGCTGAATCTGTTTGTGAGAAGATGAATGTTCGTCTCTCACGGAGCAATTTCTATTCCAAGCTTCCAGAGTTTATAGCTAAAGGTAAGGGTAACACAGTTTTAAATGTAGCTCAAATACAAAATAAATATTTTAAAAGTGAATCTTAATTTCGGCTGTATATACTATATACTACACATAGCAGAAAATGGAATGAAAAAGTTTTTTTTTATTTTTAACAAGAATTGTACATAAAATGTTTTCATAGTCAAAGAAGCACTTCTGTTCTGGACTTTGAAAAGATTATTTTGATATTTTGAAAAGATTCTTTTGTCTAAAATTCTGAAGCAAAGTGTTAGAATGTATACCAATAGATAAATTAAATGTTTATAATCTTTCTAAAGTTTTCAATAATTCCTTTTATTCCTTAGTATACATTGATTTATATACCAACTTTGTGTAATTCATAATTAGCATAGCCAGCAAAAAAATGTTATACAGAAAGTTGTAATCTCTGTTTGTCTGTCTGATTTTATATTTGTCAGATCATAACACTTGAGAGCCCCTTGACCGATTTGCCTCAAATTTTGATTGAGGAATCAGGAACTCTGTTGAATCACGGGTATGTTCTTAGCTTGATTTAACTCTATCCTGATTGGGCTATTTCTGTCTAATTTAGATTCTGTCTATTATAGTCTATGATTCAGCCCTTAGAGTGCAAGGGAGGATTTTTTTAAAAATCAAAAAGTACGTTGTTAAAAAAAAACGCAAAAAAAGAATTTAAAAAAATGTATTGCAATAAACTTGAACGGTCTTGGGAAAAATAAATTGATTTTAAAAGTAAAAAAAAATAAGAAAAAAGTTGCAAGGTTCTTTTTGCTTGTCTTTATCAGAATAACTCTATCCTGAATGGGCTATTTCTGTCTAATATAGATTCTGTCTAATATAGTCCATGATTTTGCCCTTAGAGTTGAGATAGGGGAGTGTGTCTGTTCATTAAAAAAAATCAAACCTCTATCTTTAAAGGTTAGGGAGTAAGGGAGAACTTTTAATAAAGTTCAAAAAGTACGTCGGTAAATTGTTCAAAACTGAATATTTTTACTTTTGACAAATATTAACAAGTGACCAATGTTTTTCGATGGCTTTTCAAATAAATAAATGTTAGCCATGTAGCTTCATTAACCCGCCGCGCTGTGGCTTAAAGTGATAAAAAATGGATTTTTTTTCCCTGCAATTCATAACATAAACTTGAACGGTTTGTCTGGGGAAAAAATAAATGGATTTTAAAAGTAAAAAAAGATAATGTTTTCATCCTTCATTTTGCATGTAAAGGGGAACTATAGTTAATGATCTTTTTAATGAAAAGTTCAAAACTTCTTCTAGGGGCTGACAAAATGAGAAAAATGTTTGCAAGGTTCTTCTTTCTTGTTTTTATTAGACATAAGATAAAAAATAGTTTAGAAAAAATATTGTTTTAACTTTCTTGGGACATTTTTAAACTTACGATTTAAAATTTTTACTAACTTTGAAATTTGATAAGTAATGAGTGTGGCGAACTGAGGGGCAACTTTCATCTCTAGTAAATAGTTCTTAGTGTGTAGAAACTTTGTAAAAAATTCCAGATGCCTGAAATAAATAATTTATAAATAAATTATTGCAAAAAAATAAACATTTTAAATACATTTCTCAAACCATGAGAGATAAGCGTTTTTCTCTTTAAATATCTCTTCACTGTTATACTTAACTAATATTTCGGTACATAAAATATAACTTGCTATTGTTATTGGTCATGCATTCTACATTTTAATCACAATGCATTCTGGTGAATTTTATGTTCTGTCAGCATGCATCTAGTATGCCAGCCAGAATTGTAGAAGCTTAATTTAATTATTTTATTTGCATCTATTAAAATATCTTTGAACAATTAGATTGGCCAGTATTCATCAAGCATCCCCAGTCGCATAAAATTATTTGATTTGATTTAATTGAAATCCGGGTTAAAGGAAGAATTAGAAAGATAATTGTCTGCGCCGCTTCTTTATCACTCTAAAATTATCTAATAGTTTCTTTCAAGGATCAAAATGGAAAAGTAACCTATCTGAGTTATATCATAAGAATAACTAATACACGTTTGAAAATACCAATTTCAACCAAATTTCAGGGAAAGGAGTAGATTTCATTAATCTATATTTTATATTTTATATTCATTATTTTTTGCAATAAAGGGATGGAGGATGTATGTATAATTTACTTTAATAGCCGCAAAGGGGTGTACACAGAAATAAATCTAACNATTCCACAGTCTAAATTATTTTTCATATAGTTACAACCTGACTCGAGCTTGTAGTCTAAAAACTGCTAATTATACATACATTGATCACATTTTACATAATTTTTATTGATATAATTTTATTTTGAAATGTTTAAACTATTTATAGAATAAGTGTTAAAATATCAACTGAACAAATTGTGTTAAAAACATAATAATATTATCACTATGTAGATACAATAATATTAAATATAAATATAATATTTATGTTTCAGAGATGGAGAAAAAGTATGGAATCATAGTGATTGATGAATACGGAGATCAAGCTCCTACTAAACAAGAATTGAAAGATGGTAAATGGTATAAATATTTGGATCCGGAGAACCAACGTTTATTAAACCTGGATTATCTCTCTGCGCTACCATTGGATTCCCTCGTCATAGCTCTTCATCCCCAACTATTTGAAGTGAACACTTCTAGGCCTATTGACGGATTGTTCAAGGAGAATTCATTTCAAGTTTGTTCTTTAAACACCCTTTACAGAAACTGTGCAAGCATAGTGAACTACTATAAAGATATTGGATTCACTGATCTTGACTCATGTATACCGGTCACAGTAGAGGGTATTCCTCCTATTCTTATACCAGGACAATTTGATCAGAATATTGTATATCAGACAGCTCTTAAGAAGATAACTAACAATAAATTTGAGAACTTAACTAACAACAAGTTTGTTTGTATTTATGAAGAGAAATTCAAGCGTGAGATTTTCCTTCAGGAATTAAGTAAGAAAAATGTTGATTTGTTTGAGATTAAAAATCTGAATGAATTTCTTGCTGCTGAGCGAGGTTGTTTGTTAGTTCAGTATCAACACATTAGAGGCACAGAATCAACCTCAGTTCTCTTCTTTGCTGATGATGTATACAATGCTAGTGTTCGTTCCCTTAGAGCTAGTGTTGAGCTGGTTGTCTGCGTACCAGAGGACAGTGTAGAGGTGGTGGACCGTGGACCAGGAGTTCGTAGAATATATGGACTCAGAGGATCTCCTGCTCCCTTCAGAACTCTGAGGGATATTCTAAGTAAAGAAAATATAAAGAAAACTGTATGTTGTTTTGATGAAACATTCACCAGTTCTTATCTGGAAATGTTTAAGCAAGAATTTCAACAGCTATCTCTCCAAGAGTATCCTAAATCTGCTGATGAGCTGGATGAACAGTTGAAGGGGTTGAAGGAGGGTATCATCATGTATACTCAGACAAATAATAGGCAGCGTAACAAACTGTTTTCTTTGATAGACAAGACAACAACAATGTTTATCTATGTATGGTGTTCTCGCTACGCTGTACACATACAGTTACATCATGAACCAAGGCCTGCAATCAAACAAACACGGTACAGGCATTATTCTCTAGATTAGAGAGGGTTAAACAGTTTGGCAATTTTAAACTTATAAAACCCTTTAATGGAACTTTGTGCATTGAATAAGTCTGAAACTATTTTGAATTGTTTTTTATTCAAAATGTATTTAGAATTGATTCCATATATATTTATAATGATTTCACGTGAAAAAATTATCCTATTAAAATTAAATGAACTGCTAAATTATATCAAGATTATTTGTAAATACGGAGAATTATAAAGATGGTTGATTTTCCGGTATTTTAACAGAGCAGTTTCCCGCATTTCTGGCTAAAATCAAATTGGAAGAGTTGAACATNAGATGGAAATTAAACTGTTCTTGAATTTACTAAGACACGAAGAACTGGTTTAAAGAATATTATTTAAAGTTGTAATAGATGGAAATTAAACTGTTCTTGAATTTACTCAGACTAGAAGAACTGGTTTAAAGAATATTATTTAAGTTGTAATAGATGGAAATCAAACTGTTTTTGAATTTTTAACGATGTCTAAATCTATATTCATTTCTAGCGCGTTCAAAAGAATTGAGTCTTTTTCATAAAATCTATATCTTTGAAACCCGATGTCGTAGACCTTAGATATTTTAAATTATGGCTTTCGCTACATCAACTAATCCAAGTTTGAAATATCCAAGGTTTACACCACCAGGTTGCAAAGATATAAGAATTAGATAATTTAAGTTTGTGGCAAAGACTCAATTAATTTCCATTTTTTACAATTGTTTTTTAGAAAAAGGTTTATATATTGTAGAGAGAGGAACTTTTATGTCATCAAGAAAATTTAGGTTTTTGCAAGTAAAAGATTGAAAAAGCGTTCATTAAACAACCAAAAGTATACTTTTTTTCTTCCTAAATCAAGATTGGAAGTCCGTAAAAATATTAACCTGGCATACAGCGAGACTCATAAAACTGTGGAAAAGGAAGGACAGCATTTAAGCAATCTTATTTACATTTTGTGCCGTCAGAAAGAAATTAGTTTAACGCCAAATTAAAGTAAAGGAACTGAACACTTGGCACAAACTCTAATCTTTAATCTCTTTTTCTTTGCAACCTGATGGCGCAAACCTTTGATATTTCAAATGTGTGCTATTTGTATTAACAGAATTTGAAATATCAAAGGCCAACGACATCAAGTTACAAAGATATGGGGATTTCAAAATAAGAATTTGTGTAAAGTGTTCAGTTTCTTTCACCCAAGATAAAAATCTGAAATGTCTTCAATTTCAACTTCTTATTAAACAGCGATTAACAAATCTAAATTTAGAGAACCTATGAAGTCACAAAGTCGTACTAGTAATGTCGCATAAATTTTATCTTTGTATTCCTTCTAAATTCTGGAGTTCACTGTAAATAGTTTTTCTAGTAACTTGGATATGAACTTGTTAAGTGAAATAGGTCTTAGACTGTATACAGTACAGTACAGTACAGTACAGTACAGTACAGTACAGTACAGTACAGTACAGTACAGTACAGTACAGTACAGTACAGTACAGTACAGT